ATTTGTATAAGTCACCTTGAAAGCAAGCAGACCCAGCTTGCTAGATGTGATCCACTGTGATATACGTGAAGTGGACCGATGAGGAATGTTTCTATTGGAGATGTCGGGTGCTACTTTGTAAAATTTATAGACAACTTCTCACGCAGACTACATGTATTGTATTAAAAAGTAAAAGTTAGACTTTTCATAAAAAGAAGTGAGAATCAAGAGTATTTGCTCATTTTAGTTTACAATTATAAAAATGTAGGTATTTAGAAAAAAAAAATTCTTTACATAGTATTTGATTTTTTTTTTCTTACGTGACAATATATGAGATAATGCCGAATATAACGCGATTCCATTGTTTTATTCAACTAATTATATCTGATTAATAGTTTACTGTACACTTTATTTTGTGTAGACAAATATGCGTGTCGTTAAATGCAAATAGCGAAGAAGTTGTATGTAAACCTGTTGATCGACGATGTGATCTGCGCGCGTGCGCGTGCGCATCATGATTCATGACTCACACCGCGCGCGCCCTCCCATGCCCGGCCCGGACGTGTCCGCTCTATTCGCACGTTACAATATTAACACATTGTAATATTTGTTTATAAACGGTAATTGACACTCTTTGTTGTTAGTCATAGCGCCCTTACATATTTGAAAATTACTTTTAAGAAGTCTATTTGAATAAAGATTATTTTGACTTTGAGTTTGACTATGTAGGTAGACGACCAAAAACGATCACGACCAAATCTATTAAATGAGGTCACGGAATGATTTGATCGATGATCTATAGTATAGTTCAAACTAGGCTTCGAATGTGCAATTTGACCGTAAACTAATGCGAGCGAGGTCTGACCGCCGCCGGTCATGTGTCGCGCTGTCGCACATCACACCGTGCCGGTTGGCGCTGACGAGTAACAGTGATGGGACCACCGATAACTTTCTAAACCAGACGTTGCGGGCGCCCTGGAGGCGCAGTGTTTACTGCTGGTGACGTCACACGCGACTGTATGAATGGGCTTGGTGGGGGCGACCGGCCCGCCAGCGCCCGCGCTCCTCGCCCCGTAGTCACATGACTGCCGCGGGCCCTACTCCCCGTGCCCCGACTCCCCGAAACCCGCAAACCGGCTGCGTTCGGTCCGCTCGCACTCTCCTGCAGCCCTCCTCTAGTCAGCGGCTCGCAGTTCTCTAGGCCGCGGTCAGCCGGCCCTGGTGTCCTATGTACGCGCGCACTTACGGTCGATGAACTCATTTATGTAAAAAAAAAACTCGTGACTCTTTTGCGCGTTTGCAAAATGCATAAAAACATTATCTTTAATTAATTTAAATTTGCATATCTACCAGAACCGTTGGCATGTTATACGTTTTAACTTAATATTACCGATAACTGTATCGGTAATATTCATTTATTTTTCACATGGTAATTGTATTAAATGATAACATATTTCTTTATTAAATAGTGGTTTGTTAAAAGTATTTGCACTTATATCTAACAGACGTTTTTTATTATAAAACGTTTCTAGAATAAAAAAGACATAGATATAGAGAATAAAAATATCTTAACCCGAGACGAAAAGATAGAAGAGATAGAAAAGTTAATTTTCTTACAACGATCCGACCGGAAATCGAATGCGGGTTATGAAAATAAAGATTGACTTTAATTTCTAATAAACTCTTTACCTTTGTGTATTGCTAAATCTTAGCATAGATTGTCCAATACACACAATATCATATCTAAATATCATATATTTATAAATAAATTTGTTTAGAAAAAGTAATATCAGACGATATATCATACATTGCTCAGATCCGACTTTAATAGAAAAAGCATTTGTATTGAAATTTGTAACAACAATAGTGCCACAACACCCAGATCAGAGACATCATATTAAAGTCCATTTTCTATATTCACCCAATCGGGAATCGAATTCGAAACGACGGAGATGGTGATACCATGAAACGGGCGTATAGACCACTTGGCCAAGGATATAGACTTTTTAGTGGTCTACAAATGTTTTAAAAAAGCATTTATACCTGTATCCTATTCCAGTCGCCAAATAGTTATATGCTTTCGTTCAGCAGTTTCTGTGCAAATAACAAACGTTCGAAAAGTGAATGTTGCCAATTTTTGCTTTTATAATATTAGTAACATTATGACATTCCAATGAGCATTGTAAAGTTTCAAGTGTGATTGTTACTTTTATCATGGCGGAATTCAAATACGCAACAACATTCACTATGTTACGTATCAGATGTTATGTTGTGGTAAAAAGTAGCCACGTCACTCTCCAGCCTCACATCTCCATCTCCATAGGAAAAAAATCATACCGTATCATATCGTGTTACGTTGCGAAGTGAAAGAAGGAGAAACAAACACACATTCACGTCTATAATATAAATATGGAATTGTGGAAAATGTGGGCGAAATTAAGAAAGAATTGGCTTTTCAAGATTCTTTTGATAATCTTTTATTAAATTGGTGTCGATTGACATTTGTTGTAATTCTTATGAAAAAGTACCGCAAATTAATGCTAATGAGTTGTTTTGTAAACAAGATTGTGGTTATATATTGGATGCGTAAGGTAGCGCCCACAGAGGCGCGGGCGGGCGGCGCGGCCAACAATTACATCGCCGCTCTACACTACACTAGGTACACTAGCTTTAGCCTACGACCGCGGCTGCGTGCTACTAGTATTTCCAGTAGCCCATTTATTACAAAAGCTTCCAACCATCAGAATAAGTAGGTAAAAGAATATTAGCAAATGATGAATCACCCATACAAACTCCTTATACACTTTTTACTCCCTTAAAAAATAAACCAGGATAAAAATTATCCTATGTTCTTCCCGGGATATGTTAGTATGTATTATCGTTATACTTTACAAAATTGCGATTAATCCTTTTATATAATTTCGTGCTATATTATGTTGTGAAACAACACAGCCAGGTGTCGGGTGTCGGGGGACGGGGCGAGGTGAGGGGGGTGTAGTCCTTAATCATCACGTGACATTCTCGGTGGCTATCTTCTATAGTTATGTTTCCGTTTATGATATGACACTGGTTCCTTTATGGTGACACTATCCTCTTTGTGAGGGCACAGTGCTGGCTTTGTTCTTATTAAATGTACCTACAGTTCATTTCGCTAAATACGAAGATTGAAAGTGTCATTCGTGAAGTAGATAATAGAGCTATCTCATAGCTGTCGTGTGGAGAGCTGTTATCGACCAATCGATTAGATAACTGCGGAGATGTCCACGTGTGACGCACTTAATCATTTTTATCATCAACGAATTGAAATCAATGGACTTAAACAAACAAAAAACTATATTAACTACTGTATTAAAATATTACTCATACATAATTAAATAGATGATATCTTTTATTTCATAATATGTAGAATTATTATTAACGGTAAACCATATTTTATATCAATTAAATTAAAATAGTGTGTGACCAATTTATGGAGCCAAATATGGTCTAGTTTATTTTTTATTTTTCGTATAATTTGAAAAGTCTCGAATTTATAAATGTTTATTTAATTTATTTAGCTACAAAACAATTAACAGTAACATTAATAAACGAAAGTACATGATTATTACAAAATTCTTTATTTAACCCCTTAAACAAGTTAACAGAATATTTAAAGAAATTAAAGTCTTTAAACTAAATCCAGTGCTACAGCGTTACTTCGTCAAAAAGAATCAAACAAAAGACAACTAGCTTTTGACTTGACTTTTAAAAGTAAGAAATTTGCTGATTAAGATGTCGGGTCTAGATGGGGTTTGGTGACATGTGACTGAAATATAACAATAATTAAATGACATAGGTGCACGTGTACGCGCGCGTTGATATCTTTCACACCGGGTGTAATGCACATTTGCAAAATTATAATTATACAAAACATGTGACAAATGTTGCATTGTTTTCTTACATTATTATGAGGTAGCACAAAAATATATAGCAAATATAAAAACATATTTTTGCACTTTTTACAAATGGTCAATGCTAATTATTAATAAAAAGAAAAATCATTAATAATAGCATATATTTTAATGAGTCACTCATTATTATCGAACAAGGTAATTAATTAGCTCAGTACCTAATCGGTCGGCATGTTATTATATTGGGCAGGTTATGTGTCAATAAATCGTTTTTGTTTGTGAAACTGTGGGTCATCAGGACAAGGCCTCATGAGGAAAAACTTAGCAAGGGCTTAGTTTTTTCATTATGTTGTAAATAAATGTTCAGAATTGCATAATTGGTAAATCTTGACACAAAATAAATTAGTTATATTCATATTTTTGCAATTCAAAATGTCGTGAATGTGAGTCAAATGAATTATGGTCCTCGAATGGCAATGAATTCCACCAAATGAGGCGCGAGGTGTCCGCTGCGGGCCGACCGATACGGAAGCGCGGCCCAAATAATCTCGTACGTAAGATTCATTTCTCGGACTTTGTTAACTTTTTGACTTCAGTAAAGGTTATCGAAACTAACAAAAAGTAGTGTAAAATTTTATTTTATACCTGGATAATTAAAAAAAGGATAGTTTAAAAAAATCTATAAAGCCCTGCACGACTTTCATCAATTAATTTTATTCTTATCAATCAAGTAGTGCAAAATTTAGTTTATACCTGGATAGTTAAAAAAAAATCTATAAAACCTTGCATGATTTTCATGACTTAATTTTAGGAGCTCATCCCGCTGGTCTGCTCTAGATCTATATACCTATATACTACATATATGGGTTTCGCAACCTGCATCCTTAAATACATGCCCGCGCTCACACTTAATTAACACACTAGTATTTTCAGTGACTGCCGCGGTGCCGCTCTCCCTTATTATCATTTGGCACTTTGGCAGAGTTTGACGAGCGACCGGCATCAGCAGCAGGTGTGCAGTGTCGCGGCGGTGCGGGGGGCGGCCGGGGGGGTGGAGGGTGAGCGGGGCACTGCGGCGGGGGGTGTACTGGGGTGACGCTCGCGGAGCGCAGCCTCCGACCGCGGCGCGCGCCGCATCTCTTTCTCCGACACCGAGCGGCGGTCGTCAGTCGCGCTCGCACCGCGCCGACGATTACGCGTGTTCGTGTGCTCCTCGCGCCCGCACCACGACCCGCGATACTCGCTCCGCTGGCCCTCCTCACGGCATGTGCAGCTGACAGGAACCTCAACCGGTCAACACATCCCGCCCCAGAAAGTGAGTGCACCGTTCACACGAGAGCTCGCCGACGTCTTTGCTTCTATTCTGCCACCGGCCGCATCAGCTGTCTCCGGTCACCACGGTATCCTGGGCCGGTCCCCGTACGTGCTAGTTTGTGTACTTGTAGTGAACTGCCGTAGACTTCCCTCCGATTCCAGTAAGTAATGCATTACCATATAGTAATTTATGTACAAACTACATGTAGCCTATTTTGGGGATTGGACTAGTCGAAAGCGCGCCTTCCGCTGCGCACCCCTCGGATTTTGTCATTTCATTAAAATTACAATAAGGTACACAGATTGCGTACACCTCTTCCCAGCATTGTTAAACAATTTAAACACCTCTAAAATAATTCTTAAAACCTTTTTGCTTAGACTGATAAATTCCATTTCTATTTTCAAAATTTAATTTTAATTTTAATTTGACAATTGTATTAGTGTAGCAGAAAAAGTCAATGAAACAAAAAAAATATTATTTCCGATATTAAATAACTCTTTACTCTAATCAATCAAACACGTTAGAATTAATAAAATACAATGTAGGTAGCAACTTACGTCGTTAATGAGTATCGTTTTTATTTATTTGGGATATGTTTACTACCGAAAATCCGATGAACATGACGTAAGTGTTGTTTGCATGATATGTAGTAGTAATGTTGTAGTGTAGTAACGTAGTGGCTCTGTAATGTAATGTAATGATAGTCCGCCGGCGGTCCGTGGTCCAGCAGCGAGGCACGCATCGATGTTGACGGTATTCGTAAAATTATAAACATTGCATGAATCTATTGATTTATCATTTACATATAAATAATTTAACAATGGACAATTAATTTCGCAACTTTCCATTCTCTTTTATGATTTCTATTCGGACAATATAAGTTATGTTGGGAATGCGGATACAAAAATGGGAACAAGAAAAATAACGAAAAACTGTATCAATAGTGTGTGCGTGTGTGCGTGCGTGTATCGCACCGAAGGAGATGCGGCTGCATGATTTTTTTGACAAACACAAATCGAACACAATACCAAACACCTACCTACGTAACAACAACTTATTTAACTAATGAGTATAAAACAAACGAAAAAAAAACAAATATCGAACATGCAAGTGCTTACTTTGAGAGAAAGTTAGGAGCCCATTACAATTTGCGTGTTCTGTGAGAAACGTGTCATGTGTAGGAATCCAATCAAGGCCTAGAAAATTTATTAAACCTGCTTAATTGAACTCGTTTCCGAGACTTTATGTTGAAGATCTTTGACAATGATGTTGTCATTAAGGTTAAATTACTGTTTATTAATTAAATGACGAAAATATAGCAAGATAACCGAACCACGAAGCGGCACTAGTGAATCATCAATGATTAGTAATATAACGTCCACTAGACCCACCGACGATTATCTCGTGAAATGTTTTCGACTAGCCTTATCTTAGAGTATTCATGCATCTATTTACATTGTAGCTAAGTAAGTAGTATCGTTCAGATTTATTCAAATCCAAAAACAGTGTATTTTTAAGTAGTATTTATATTTTCTATAATCCTGTGCAATATTTTTTAGGATGCTTAAATAAAAGAGTGCTAATTGAGATAAACTTTATATACGATATATGTATATGATGTATAATGTATGCATAAGAATAAATTTTGCTACATATTTTCGTCACGACTGTATAGAACAACACTCGCAAACTCACCTTCTCAATTTGCAGAAGGTTACATTCTTAGATTACTAAACAGCTTATCTGAAAAAGCAAAGTAATGTTGCTATGAAATCATTTTTACATATTGTGGATGAAAAAAATTACAATTATTATATTTGATTAATATATTAACCTATTTCGTTTTACGTATTTTATCATAACGTCAGATTTGTTTTGAACGTTTTATTTAATTAGAAATCGAAACGATTTCATCCGTTTCAGTGTATAGTGATTCTCAAAGTGTATTCTGATTTCATTGAAGTATCCATAGGTACTCGTCGTTGTTGGAGTAAAACTCATTCAAATTATCCCAATGTCTTAATCTTTGACTCTTTTATACTTCGTTATCATTTCTAGTTTATCAGCTAGTTAGTTAGCGTTTATACTTGGACAATTCATTAACGCAACTCTTTATACAAAACAAATATAAGTAAGATCAATTTTAATTAACTGTGTCACGATTAGTAAATCCGGTTTTCGAGTGCAATAGCGCATTGTATTATTTTTATCAGTGTAAAACCTTTATGATTAACATTAGCTAGTCGGTCAGTGGAGCGCGCATTTTTTTTTTATCTGTACCCGGGGATATTCCCTGAGCACATTCCTCCGAGTGCATCAGTGGCAGGTACAAAACTACACTAGCATTTTGTTCGGTTGCAATCGACATCTTTATGTATATTGCACGTACATTTTAACACCTGCATTGTGACGTCAGTTAGGACTACAAATTAAGAATGAACTTTTTGTGTACTGGAATCGATATGATTATATTTTAATACTGATTTCGTTGAAATTATTACGATTTCGCAGAGGGATATTATTTATTCATCGATGACTCGGTCGGCGGTGTCGGCGCTGAAGTTGCTTCATTTATAAAGTCAATTATTCAATTCAACTTTCGAACTTCGGGCAGATTATAAATTTTAAGGCCCAGATTTTAAGATCCAGATAATAATATTAGAAACTCCTTACAACGATTTGATTCATAATATGTTTAGGAGACAGGACACTTGACTTGCGTAAGAAACTTTATATGTAATTACTATAACAAAATATGAAAGGGAACGTTTTCAAATGTATGTTCTAAAGTAACTCTGTTGATTAATAAAAATATATTGGCCACTAAACGTATTTCTAAATAACGCATGCATCAAAAAATGTGATTTACCTTAAGCGAAGCGCACGCAACACTACGCCGAATGACTCATGTAATTTAGTACAGTAGAGGTTCTTTGTTTGAAGTGTTTGGAATGTTCCGTCATATGACAAATGTTTATATCATATTTATACGACTTTTCCAAAAACAGCTGTTTAAAGAACATCTGATTTTGTCGAATGGTGAACTAATATAAGGTTGTTATTGCGTGTGCGCAGGATGATCCCGCGGAGGAAACACAACGTCTCGTCGGGCTCGCTGCCCGCGCCAGACGACAAGCACGCCAGCAACGACTACATTCGTATGTATACATAGCATTTATTTATGACTAGCTTCCCGCCAGCGGCTTCGCCCGCGTGGTCTTGTATTATATATAAAAACCTTCCTTTTGAATCATCCTATCTATTAAAAAAAACCTCATCTTAACCCGTTACGTAGTTTTAAAGATCTTATCTTACATAGAGACAGACGACGGAAAGCGACTTTATTTTAGACTATGTATTGATCATCGCTTATTATTTATTACTTACGGAGTACGAATTATTTATTACATTGGGAAACTGTTTATTAATTTAATTTAATTCATATTAGGTCTACTGTGATCTAAGTTATAATAAATTACTTAGTAATATAAAATAATTGACTACGAACATATTTAAAAATAATATTAAGTTGAATGAACGCTCCATGAATTCGATACAAGATTTAGAACATAATATGTATTTTGTATTTAGCATTATAAATAACTAAGGAATTATATTATACAAGCTTACTTGAATAAAAACATTTTCATTTTCATTTCATTCATTCATTCATTTCAAAAATGTATATATTACATTTTTTATGTTTTTTACTCAAATACCAATTTTCATCGCTATACAATAAAACATTTTGTAAATAATATTAGGTAAATTTATATCAATGATAAATCTGATTGTAAACAATGGTTGCTATGGTAACATTTTGGTTCTCCATAAAGTCTTTCACTCTCATTTTTATCTCTTTCAGTGCTAGTTTTCGGGATAAAATATAACCTATTACCTTCGTAGAGTACTACTACCCAAATACAAATTTTCATCGACATAGGTCCACAAACAAAGAAGTTTCATACAAACTTTTTCACCATTTTTGACCCCCTTCGGGATAGAATTTCCAAAATTCCGTTCTTAGTACACCTCTACGTAATAAGGGGAATGTTCCCTCCGAATTTCAGGTTTCTACGACTAGCGGTTTTGGCTGTGCGTTGTCTGTCAGTCAGTAAGTCAGGACATCTCCTTTTATATATGTATAGATATGTGACTGAAATAGCACACGAACATCTGTTCGCTTTCTTTTGACATAGAGCATCCCTACGCTCTGTTGAATATTATTGATTCACCTGATAATCAGTTCCAATATTTGTTACAGTGTCGGACGGCACCAACTGCGAAGGATGGCGGACGGCGTTGCGGCGGCGGTTCAACCGCAAGACCCTGAACAAGCGGCTGCCGGTCACGGCGTGGCTGCCGCAGTACAACATGGAGAAGGCGGTGGGGGACCTGATCGCGGGCATCACCGTCGGCCTCACCGTCATCCCGCAGTCGCTCGCCTACTCTAACATCGCAGGGCTGCCGCCGCAGTACGGCCTCTACGGATCCTTCTTGGGCTGCTTCGTTTACATCGTGCTGGGCGGGTGCCGCGCCGTGCCAGCCGGACCGACCGCCATCGCCTCCCTCCTCACCTGGCAGATCGCTAACGGCGTCATCGAGAAGGCGATTCTGCTCACGTTCTTAGCTGGCCTCGTCGAGCTCCTGATGGGTGTTCTCGGCCTCGGCTTCCTGATCAACTTCGTCTCCGGGCCTGTCTCTTCCGGCTTCACGTCTGCTGTCGCGCTCATGATTGCCACGTCACAGGTGAAGGACCTGTTTGCGATCACCGTCACTGGCAACACGTTCCTGCAGCAGTGGATATCGGTCTTCCGCAACATCCATACCGCCACACTCTGGGACCCCGTGCTCGGATTCGCTTGCATCGGTCTCCTGCTACTCATGCGGGTGAGACTTGTCTTTACTTAGAATAAGTCTGATTATAAAATAATGTAAATCAAAATCTTTATTTATTCCAAATAAATTTCTCATCGCCCAATTTTCAGCGCTTTACATTTTTATATAGCCAAAGTGACATGAATAAATAATCAATCTCGTTTTACAGAAAATCGGAATGATCAAATTGGGAACAAAATCGGAGGACGGACCGAACACCAGGCAGAAAGCTTTCAACAAATGTATGTGGCTGCTCGGCACGTGCCGCAACGCGATCGTGGTGGTCGTCGGAGGAGTTCTCGGCTACTGGTTCGTGAGCACGCACGGCGCCTCGCCCGTGCGTCTGATGGGTCAGTATTTATTAGATACTGCAGGTTATTTTTACCTTGCTACTTAGTATAACACGACTGATCGGTTTTTCTCTGTTCGTTTTCGCCAGCCGACAGCAATTTCGGTTAGTAAACAATCATGCGCCTCGCCCACATACAGCATAGAGTAGTGTAGCGTAGAGTAGGGTAGCTCGATCGCATTCATCACGTGCCTAATTCATTTCTCTATTGATGTGTTAATGTGTTGTTCTGACGGTGATGGTGGTCTTTCAGGCGCTATTCCGTCGGGCGTGCCGGTGCCGCAGCTGCCACCGTTCAGCTATGTGCGAGGGGACAACACCACCGTGGACTTCCTGGACATGGTGTCCGAGCTGGGATCCGGTATCCTGGTGATCCCTCTGATCGTGCTGCTGGAAGATATCGCCATCTGCAAGGCGTTCTCGGACGGAGGCACCATCGATGCGACGCAGGAGATGATCGCACTGGGCGTCGCTAATATCGCCAACTCGTTTATGCAGGCGTACCCCGGAGGTGGATCGCTAGCGAGGTCCGTCGTCTGCAATGGCTCCGGCGTCAAGACCACTTTTAATGGTCTTTATACAGGTGAGCTCCTTGTTCCTTACCATTGAGACATAGCCATGTGTAGCATATAGGCTGAATTTAATTATTTGCGCTCTTCCAAGACAGACCGGGGTTTGAACAAAGTTTATCAATAGGTGCAGTACTTACTTAATTTTTAAGTTAATATTTCAGAGTTGTTGTTAATAGTCGCCCCTCTGTATGTTTCAGGTTTGATGGTGATATTGGCACTGCAGTTCTTCACGCAATATTTCGAGTTCATCCCGAAGGCGGTGCTCGCAGCCGTCATTATCTCCGCCATTATCTTCATGGTCGAATACAATGTCATCAAACCCATGTGGCGTGCCAAAAGTTAGTGTAATTTCTACTTTCTACTTGATACTTGAAAAGGTAAACTAACACTTTTGGATAGATAATAAAAAACCTTTTATTTCATACATTCAATTAAATAACAGACGCGGGTGTATAGCCGCCCGTGTACCTGTTTGTATCTTGCGATCTCATAGTTTTTCAAAAGGAAAACCTCATAGTAAAAATAACAATTCTACAAAATTTAATAGTTATTCTGATCGTTAACCCAGATATATTTATATAACCGGATAATTTACTAGTCGTTCTATCAGTATAATTGAGGCTTTTTTTATGTATCTTCACAGAACTGGACCTCATCCCTGGCGTCGGGACGTTCGTGTTGTGTCTGACGCTTCCTCTGGAGCTGGGCATCCTCACCGGGGTGGTGGTCAATATCATCTTCATTCTGTACCACGCCGCTAGACCCAAGTTCTCCGTCGAGATGCTCAAGGTGAGGGAATCGTCCTCTGACTGTTGTCGCCCTCAGAATATCATTTAAATCATTCCCCTAGAGGGACGACGGTTCGTCCGCGTGTAACGCAAGGTCGAAGAACCGTCTCGGCGTCCTCTGGTATTCACCAGACCGTCGTAATCGTTTTATCCTAAACTATAGCGGCGGAGTCGATCGTGCTTAAATAGTCTCGTTTATGATCTAGATAAGATCGAATTTTCGTAAACATCACCGTGATCGATCAGATCGAAGCTCCTTTTTCTATCCTTATTTTATATAAATGAAAAAAAAAAACTAATAACCCACGGTGCACTGTGTACAGAGCGCGTCGGGAGTGGAGTACCTGATGGTGACGCCGGACCGGTGCCTGATGTTCCCATCGGTGGACTACGTGCGGCGGCTCGTGACCAAGTTCGCGAGCGGCAGCTCCGTGCCCGTGGTGCTGGAGTGCACGCACATCTACAGCGCCGACTACACCGCCGCCAAGTCCATCGAGCAGCTCACCGCCGACTTCCACGCGCGCCGTCAGCCCCTCTACTTCTACAACGTGAAGCCCTCCGTGTGCTCCATCTTCGAGGCGGTCGCCAAGCCCGAACACTTCGTGGTGTTCTACGAGGACGAGGAGCTGGACCGGCTGCTGGCCGAGGACGAGCGCCTGCAGCCGCGCAAGACCCCCGCCGCCGAGCCCTGATGCGGCTCGCCCGAGCGGCCCTCCCCGGTGTGATATTGAAGATGGAACACGCGAGCCGCGATCGGTCTCTAGATATATATATATGTATATGCGATTGAGATGTCTATTTTCTAAGTATGTACTATGGCTCGGCGTTTCCTTCGTCCTATTTTTATAATGTACCTGTTGTGATAGAGTCGCGGCTCCGGACCCGGCGCCGGATACGAGTTAGCTTTAATCGGATAGGGAACGACCGGCGTCGGCCCGAGCGCGAGGTGATGTTTCGCATGTAGGGATTCGTTCGGATCATATTTGAAATCTTCGCTATTTATATGAGACGCGATATTCGCAATATTTATTTCGAATCGTAGTTTAGCGTTGAAATTGACTTTTAAATTATAGTATAAGTGTTGACTCCAGTAGTCGTTAGGGTTTGGCCTTCCCGGCGGGGAGGGGGGCGCGGTCCGTCGACGGGCGTGTCCCCCCCTCCCCCTCCCCCACGGTACTTAGGATCGAACAATTTATTTTAAATGAACGAAGTACAATTTAGTTAGAGAGTAATTTATTTTCATAAGTGAGAATCTAGTCTTAAGCGGAGCGCAGACCGTGCAAGCGGACTTCTAGATCTTTATATATGTGTTTTCTGCGAACATTAGGGTTTATTCCTTCTCCTCCTCTCCCCCTTTGATGGGATTGTATATTATAACATAATACATAACGTTAGTGCGCTGACCTCCACTCTTGTTTACACTTTTTGCACGAGGAACGTCGTAATTATTTTACAATAAAATTAGTGCGTGAACACGCTCGCATATTGACGAATATACATACTGGTCAGGCCGTGGTGGCCGATACTTATATCCGAATCCTCCGCCGGTGTGCGTCCGTCGCGAGCACCCGCCCCGCTGCCGCTCTCGCGCCGCTTTTGACTTAACGTTATTTTTTGTGATCCTCGGCTAATACTTAAAATTATGTATAAGTAGAGAGATATATATATATAAGAGAATATTTTGAATTAAAATAGAGAGTATGTACCTATTACCTTATAAAACTACCTGTGTGATGAAATGTATGTGCCGTATGAGAGTAGCAGAGAAATAAAATACAGTTCCAAGAACAAAAAAATAATAAACTCTATGAGAGTATTTACTGTGTTGTTTTTTTTTCTTTCACATATAATTATCAGCTCTAATAACCCGTACTCATCGTGAACATCATGACCCGACTATATTCCCGCATATTCCTATACACTTCCTTAGTTTAAAATCACTTCTATTAAGCTGTTAATATTAACTTAAAGAGGGACTGCGCTCTCAGGTTATTAGTATTATAAAAATGCCTTTTTTTTATATAGGATGTTAATAAATAGCAGAACTTAGCCCTCAGAGGATAAGCATAAAATATTTTTTGGCAAAATAAAGTAAAACATACTGTTAATATAATGTTTACCTGAAACTTATCTATTACTTAACTACCGCTTCACGTAGTATAAAATAAACACTAGAATGTCAACGTCATGCTATTAAAGTGTATTGAGAACACATAAGACAGCTGTTGTCACGACAGAAAGTATTAAACATTTTGTTAGTTAAAAGCACAGGATTTGTTTTAGAAAAAAGTGTTATCGTATTTTTTTTTTGTAAATTAAATAAAAACAATGAGAATAATACTTTTCTTAGTTTACATTTAAACTTTATTGTTTTAATGAAAGGTGCCGACGAGGGTGGTGGAAGCACTCGGCTGTGAAAATAAATACAATAGGAATCTTCGCAAACACTTATAATGCCCACCAAGTACACGTATAGACAAAAGTGGGTGTCATTATTGAGATCGAACGTCAATAACAAACAACAATAAAAACTCTTTAAACAATATATTTTAAAAAATACAATAAAAAATAGACAAATATCAATCATTGATTGAGTCGAGAGGTGGCCGCAAAACGCGAGGCGATTTCAATGTAGTAAGTAACCTATGTAATTAAGTACGAGTAGTTTTTAGCCAAACAGATTTCAATAGGAAATTTTTAGTTTCATATTCTATTTTAGAAGGGAAAATCATAAATTAATATATCTTTGCTTTAGAAGAAAGATTGGATTTCCTTGAGAACAAAAGTCGATCAACGAATCTTAAATTTAAAAATATATCAAAAATGCCTATTGTGACAAAGGAGTCACTAACATCTTGGTCGAGATAATTGGAAAAATAGAAAATGTGCTAGTTGAGCCTAAAGATGTTTACAGAATAAACTCAAAAGCCATCGAAAACAAACTTATTATGATGGAGTTTAACGCAGTTGCATTAAAAAAAAAAACAAAAATTACTTCATTGTCTCCTCTAAAAAATTTACAAGTTACAAGGAGCCGAACACCTTAACACCCAGAATCTTCAGGTTGCCGGGTCATCTAAAAAGATAGATATGAGTGACTCCATCACTCCGAAACTAAGACGTTTATTCTATCTAGCACAGGAGTTTGCAAAGGAAAATAAAATAATTACTGTAGGTCTGCGAACGGAAATATCTTTCTCCGTAAAAGAGACGGTTCATCACATATTCGTACTGAAATGGATCTGATGAAACTACAAAATATGAGATGGCTAAATTATGCAAGTGGATTATGCTGTGATATGTTTGCGTTACTTTCTTGTCTTATTGTTAAAATCATATTTACAAATGTTAAAATTATTACACAGACTAATTTATTATTTAAATTCAAATACACTTTATTACCTACAATCTTTAATAAATATATAAATATACGCATAAAACAGTTTAAATAGAAGGAACATATTATCTCTTCATCTTTGACCCTTAAAAGTATATTACTTACTCCAATTTCATTAATGATCTGTACATACTTTTGGCTAACTTTTTTTTCACCAATTTCTTGTATCCAACCGAACGTCGTTTGTTTTGACCGGTGACTAGACTCAGGCTAAGTTAACCTAACCCGGCTCAAACACAGTACTTGTAACTGAAATTAGGCCCTTACATATGGAATTGGTGTTTGGTAAGGGAGGTACAAAGGTCGAATATTTTTTTTTATGTAATATATTTATTTAATCAAAGTATAAACCATTGTTATCTATGCACTTTAGCCATCTAATAGGTAGTTCATTGATCCCCTTACTAAAAAAACCATTCGGACGGAATCAATAAAATCTTTGAAGTCGTCAATCTTTGAATCAATAAAATCTTTGTTTTCCTTGCAAGAAGTTATCCAAATTTCGAAAAAAATGGTAATCTGTTGGAGTACGGTAGGGGAATACGTTGGATGTCTTAGACATACCAATTGAAACTGTTCTAATTTGGTAGCCGTCTGTTGTGCAGTATGTGGTAAAATTTGAATGGGCCCCGACTGTGAGTCGTTATGTTCTACATTAGAATTTATGATTTGTTTTATGTGTGTATCGATTATGAAACTATTTCAATTGTGTAGTTATTTAGTATTACTTAACAGATTCTTTTTTTTTTTGCATGTCTTTTATTTATTTTTATTTTTTTAAATTTCGACTTATGAAACTGATTACAATCAAAAATATAAACATTAAAATTTTTACACAAAAGAAACTGGATTGTAACCTTCTTGATGTAAGCTACAACATGCATTTTAAAATTAAATATTTTTTCACAGAAGTGACTACATATGAAGCATAAAATAATTTAAATTACAAAATATTAATAATAATAAAGTTATCAAGGTTTCTCTCACGAACCAAAAACAGATCTTAAGCTCTGCCTAGCAGAAGCAATGGATCCATCGAATATGTCGATGTTAAATCGTATCGATTCATAGCTAGAACACATGCGATAAAGCGGTGAATGCTGACCGAGACGAGTTCTACGGAGTGGTAATCTAAATGTTTTTCTGTTTTGTATTGGACTTCCAATCCTCGGTACTGTATTTTTTTTTTCCATAATATCAGGGGAGTTAATACAACCGTTCAATAATTTAAATAAAAACATAATATCCAATATTTTTCTGCGGTCGTGGAGCTTAGAAATTTTATAATAGGATAGACGAGATTCGTAAGTTGCAATTTGACGACATTTATAGTCAGAGAATTCCAGATGATACAAGATACGCCCCTGCACTTGTTCTATTCTATTGGAATAAACTTGGTAACCTGGATTCCATACTGGACAGCAATACTCTAGAATACTTCACACTATAGAATTAAAAATAATAATCTGCGTACATTTTAAATTTTGAGACTACAGAAGGGACATCCCTACTTATTGATTTGTGTCCGTATAAGGAACCTGTTGGGAACGATTGCATTAGGTATGTTTTCCTACCCCTTCTAACTTACGGCAATCGATATGTCACGATGTGCAAGACTAAGAGCGCTTTTCGGAATCACTCCCAGTGTCTATGCGCATGAACTATCATACTTGCCTGTCCAAGGCGTAGTAAATATCATTGTCATAGGCAACTTCCAGTTGGAGCGCAGCACCATTTTTGAGGTGGAAAGCCATGTTGGTCAGCATTCAAAAGACTTTTGAGATGATTATATAGATATGTACTTCTGAACAAATGCTTCAAGAACCTTACCTGCAGTCGACAGTATTGAAATAGTGTCGTAACTAACCTTTCGTATCGTTTTCATTCCTTAGATTCATATTACTAATTTTGCTCATATCGATAAACTTTTTAGTGTTTTCCATTTATATTCTTTACTTTCTCCATTCTATAATTGTGGACCTTCAATTTTATACCTGTAACCATTAAAATTCTGTAATATAAACTTATCCAAACCTTTACAAACTTTCATCCTATGTTTTTGTTTACTTATACTAATGTGAACCCTTACCTGTACTTTTCATAGTTTTTCTTTATACATTTTACCAATTCTAATCATATTAAAGCATTTTATTTTTTTTAATTTAATGTAAATAAATTATTTTATTTTATTTATAATCTTTTAGTTCTTTTTATTTCTTGTTTCATAACAATAGGTCTATAATTACAAACGTCGCTCGGATCACCATGATTATGAATTGGCTATACATGAGCAGTTTTCCAATAAGACGGAAATACTCCTGACTCAAGAGACGTATTGTAAATAATAAATAAAGGCTTGCATATATATTTAGCACAACGTTTATAGAATAATGGCGGGAGCAAGTCAGGACCAGGCCCTTTGCTACAGTCTAGTTTCGAAAGGGAATTGAAAATCTCCTTCTCGGTGATAAAAACGTTACTAATTGACAGATTTGCTGTAATTGATATTGATATTTCTATTAGCTACTTCCAATATGTTATGTGAATCGTAAACGTTTTGAAAGCACTTAGAAAATAGTTCACAAATTTGAAGACCACCAGTAGCTGCAATATCACCTAAGTGCATCACATTTGGAATTGATAAAATATGGTTGGAAAAAGGTTGAGTATAAAAAGTGAAAAAATAAATTAACAACTATCAAGATTTGGAAAAGCTAACAACGAGCCGGACGGAAAGTTCATGGCGGCGGACATCAAATTGCCTATTTTTATATCGTATGTGTCAAAGCACACGACCGAGGATGACATTTTAGAATACATAAAGAATAACACTAATGAAGAAGTGAGTCTATATAAGATCAATAGACAAACTGCAACAAATTATAATTCGTTTGAGTTGTATATACCTAAAAGTGAATTTAAGATATTTTTAAACGACGATCTCTGGCCAGATGGAGTTTCTTTTCGGCGGTTTGTACGTGATAAGTGTAACATACATTTTCAGGGGGCGTGTAATAGTATGAAAATTATTAAATAACAAATGAAACTTTTTTTTATTTATTTTTTATTTTTTTTATTTTACACAGTGAAACTAAAAGTGGGTCACATCAAATGCTGACATTTAATAATTATAATTTAGGTGTAATTGTGTTAAGTATATGTGTGCGTGTATTAGTATAATGTTGATGACTATACTGGGTGTTAGGGGAACGCTTCCGAAAACGAAAACCAGTGATAGAGTAAGTGATTCTGGATACATTGCAATGAAAAAATTATTACTTTATTTTTCAAAAAAATATGTTATTTTATTTTATTTTTTCGTTTTTAGCGATGTAAAATAAGTTAAGTATTACTATTTTTATCAATAAATTTGTCTATTTATTGATTTTCCATAAAAACGCAA